ATAGTAAGCAGATCAACGAGTAATAGATCGGCGTAAGCATAGCCTCGAAAAAATGCTTACGCCAGCCCTGCGCATGCTCAATAGATCGGCGTAAGCATAGCCTATGACTAATGCTTACGACTCGGCGTAAGCATAGACACTTCGTAATTAATTATTAGGCCTAGCCTAGACAACAAAGTCAAAGATGAATCATCATTTACTAATAATATTGAGATAATTAATTGTGCCTCAACCAGAACTCACGTTAAACACTAACACCTACGATAACAATGAGCAATGAGCCACCTCACTAACCCCTGGCCCTACACAGCTTTGCCTATACTACTCTAGGCCTAGGCTACTTCGCTGGTATTCTCACTAATCCGACCGGGGTCCCAGCCGGGCTGTCTCGGCCCAAGATTGGAGGCTTTGCATTTACTCACCATTTTCATTTGTTACACCCGAACTGTCTTTCGTAGCTTGCTTTGAATCAGCTACTTTTAGCTTATTATAAAATTCAAACAACTTATATGCTGCACATATTGAAGCAGAGGCAGCAAATATTGAAATAATTGTGACGTTCAGTCTTCCACTGAAAAGTCGATAGGGCGCAGACATCTTGCAAACTGAAAACGTTTTCTAAAAAATACGTTATTCATCTAATTATTTTATCTTTATAATACATTTTACGGATTCAAAATATATAGGTTTCTATAGCTTTATTTCTAAATATATTATATAATATATGCTATAAGATTATATAATTTTAAATAATGTATTTGATATAAGTTTGCGTCAAGAGTCAAAGGTTACACATTAGAAAAAAACATGTGTGAATTATTTTGTTGTGTGATGGTGTAAATAACATTTTATGTAGAGCAAATATGCCTATGATAGGCAAATTCCCTTTGCGTAGAACATTACGTTATCTCAAAGATGGGAAAGTGCATTTAATAGATCGTGTACAGATTTTCACAATTACGTATAATACGTTTGGAAAACAGAGCCAAGGAGCTAGGTAGGATCTACCCTCTGTCTCTAGGCTAGCTAGGCTTGCCCGACGACATGTTTCCTGCGGCAGAACCTACGGAGTTAGGGTGCAAGCTGTGCTATGCAAGAATAATTGCTAGGCCTAGCTTAACTTTGCTCTCAGGCGTCGTTTTCTCTTCTTGTCGTCACAAAAAATAAATTGTTTCCCCGTTTGATTTTCATGATATATCAATTAATAGTTTGTTCACCATGTCCAGTGTTGAGCACAACTTTGTTGTTTCATACATGCTTGAGACAGCATTTTGTGTATAGTGCACAGAGAGTGGAGCCAATCATATCGATATGACACAGTCTACTAAATAAAGGCACTGGCCAATCCAATGTGTTTTTCATTATTTCCATTATTATTGGTAGGCCTTTGTAATTGTTGGTATTTTATTTACTTTAAATGTATTTCCAACTTCAATTTCGCTACTTAGAGGAGTGATCGTACTGTACAAGACTTTAAAATTCATTCTGATTTCTCGTGATAAAATCAATTTGTAGTACTCTGTAAATAAGTTTATACTGTATATATAATAATGTGTAATATCCGTCTAACTAGTGAAATTTATATTTATTATTAATATTACTTATTAAAATATTACAGTTTTTGTGGTGCTTGTCTTTATTTTGTGCCATATTTATTGTGTTTCTTGTATTGGATTTTTTTGTAAAAGTATATTTTATGTTACATATTCTTCAGTTTTTAGGGCTAAATCCATAAAAACTGAAGGCTTTTGCCCTATTTCCAATTTATCTGCACTTATACACTTTATTTTTTTATAAGAACACATTTATAATAACATTGAGGCTGAAATTGCTTAAAAGTTAAGAACAAAATAAGAACAAATTGAGGCTGAGGTAAAATGTAAATTTATGAGGTTTTTATTTTTTTTAAAACTAGAAACCCAAGTAATTATGTCTACCTTACTGTATGTGCAGTAGGTGTGACTATGTAATACCCTCAATGCAGTACAGTGGTGTGCCTACCTGTCATTTGGGGCCATTTTTACTGGGGCCTTTTTTCTGGGGCCAATTTGTTGCGGGGGCCTCTTTTTTTCCGGGGCCACTTTTACCTACTTTCAAGTACAGTGTATACTGCTGTACAATACTACTGTAATTTTTCATGTTTGAAGAGTGTGTATATTAAGAACAAAATAAGAACACTTAGAGCCTGAAATCGGCCAAAAAATAACACTCAGCCTGGGCAAAATTTTACTGGTTCTTATACTGTAGAAAAAAAAAGTGTAAAACTATGTTCATATTTTTTTAATTTTAATTTTCGTTTTATAAACATTTTGTATTTATTTTCAATTAATTATTTTTCAGAGACTTTGTGTTCTACAACCTGCCACAATTGCAGTACAATAATCCGAAGGTCCAAATGCAAACACTGAAAAACCTCACACCATCACCGTTTATAAGATGTTTCTTGGGTAAGTACAGTACTATATTTGTTTTAACGGTGTACCCATAAAAAGACCTCGTGCAGCATGGAAGGACGTCATCAGACGAGACAAACACACTCCCTGGACAGACTGTTGATTGAAGAGACAGGTGTTACTTGCTCCAAAGATCGCAGAAACTGGACACACTTCCTATGTCAGACAGCAAGTGAAGATGATACTGACTGGTAGTAGTACATAGTTTTAACGCTGTCCAATAATATTTTCTTTTTGGCCTGTTTTAGCTCGGAAATTCAATCTTGCCACTGCCATGAAATCTTCATTAAGGAATCTTTCTTCCTCGCAATTAGATAACTGGAATGGTTGCAACATTGTATTTTTTATGACCACACAAATTTTCAGCTTGCACATTAGCAATATTTCATTAAGATTTTTTTCTCTGCCTAGATCTATTTGGCAGAACCATTTTAATATTGTTTGAAGGTTTGCATGGCAAAGTAATAGCATTTATGTTGAAGCTGAAGATTTATGTAGTCCTGAAAAGAACTGTTGTAGTTTAGAAAGTCTCGACGTTTCGATTGAGATGCTTCAATGCTCTTCAGGAGAATAATATCTGTTTTTATTCTGATATTATTCTCCTGAAGACGATTGAAGCATCTCAATCGAAACGTCGAGATTTTCTTTCGTGGTGTACCACAAGCTTCAACATATATGCAGAACCATTTTACCAAATGACAAAAACAAATTTTATTTGTATTCCATCTTCCTCTGACGATCTTTTTAAACATTTGTTTGTTAACCAAGGCAAGACTTTTTTTATACCTTGTTTAGCCAACCTGCCACCAACCAATAATGATTTTGAATAAAAATAGTTTTATTTTTGGTCAAGTTAGTGCACCCGTAACCATGAATGAAATTAAAATTTCAGAAAAAAATAAAAGTTTTTCTTGTGCCTTGAAATCTCCAAAAATAAGATATGTAATTTTCTTCCTAATTATATAAATTCAAAGCATTAACCATCCCAGTACTACAGTGTATACATTCACCATTAAAATTATATTTTTATTTTCTCCTCCGCCTGGATGGTTTTTGGCAAGCTATTTGCTCCTCCTCTGACAATCTTAAAACAACAATACGGTAGTTTGCGAAATAAGGTATAGTAATAAAAAATGTCTGGCCCAAGGTCTAAAAAAAATCCTGCCTAAATTTCTTCTTTTTTTTTTTTTGTAGATGGTAGTAAAGAAGTATTGATTGATATTGATAATTTCAGTCAATCAGAAATAATTGAACGTCTTAATAAAGTATTGGGAAAATCTGAGTAAGTTTGCTAGATTCTTGGTACAGTATACATGTATGCACTTGTCAATTGTAGTCCGGCCTTGGCTGGTGTACTGGTATAGGTCAAATTCACGGTTCTCAAATTTTCATGCAACATGCTCACACCTTGGTCCTCTGCGTTGTGTAGTTGGAGTTTAAAATTTTATTATGTAGTTTATACTGTGATTATAAATAAATGAAACCATGCCGGGACTACAATTGACAAATGCATAGTCAAAAGACCATTTTCTGTATTCCCAAATGAACATCTTTTATCTTTATAATAATATTTGTTCTAATTAAAGGGCAAAACTGCTAATGATCATGAAAACCCAGGTCCCAAAAGTTGCCTTTAATTGGAGGAAGAACTGTAATTATATTTAGAACAATAAATGTTAGTTCTTCTGTTTCTCAACTAATATTGCTATAAAAAATCTATTTAAAAATAGACCTATATGATTTATCATTCATTCAAATGAGGAGTAAATATAAATATTTTTTAAAATCTGTTTAGAGTGGTCTTAGCAGCTGAAGAGTTGGCACGAAGACAGTTGGTAAACCCCGCCCACTTTGGAGAGCGTTTTGGCAGAAAGTGCATGTGCGAGATTCCTGGCCAGATCCCTTGTCCCGGTGTGGTGCCACTTCCAGATCATATGCGTGGTAAATTCATGGACTTGAAGGCTGGAAGTTTAAAAGCCGGAAAGGGACGTATTCAAATAAACCTTCCTGATGCTTGATCAAACAATGTTGCCATGGAAAAATTTGAATGATGAAAAAAATGATGAAAGAAAAAACACTATAATAAAAATTCAGCAAAGCATGACAGTAAAACACAGCAGGCCCACAGCCAATATGTAGTAATAAAATTAGCAGGAGAAAGCTAAATTACAATGAAACAAGTTCTCATAATCTTGAAAGCTCTGATGAGGAAATTATAATAGAGAGAGAACAGCTAAAAAAGATCTATTAATCAATCAAATATTAATCTATCAGCCAAGTATTTCTAGAGCTCCTCATGTAGGCAGTATAATAGAGGCGGTAGATCTGAAACGGATCTATTAATCAGCCAAGTGTTTCTAGAGCTCCTCATCAGAGCTAAAAATTTCCAAATTATTTGACATTGTGGAATCCTGAAGCTTTGGTTTATTTTTAATATTGGAGAAAAAGAACACCACCAAAATTTAATTTCAGATTGTGAATTATTTTCCAATATCAAAGGCCACCAGCCAAAGGTACCCTCCCCAGTCAAAATGTGGTGACTTATGTTTTTCATGCAACTATCTTGGCAAATGGTCCTGCAGTGTAGTGGAAGACTACTTTATGATGATGATAGAAGAAATAAATATTACATACTGTATTTAACAGATCTTGAATCATCTCTTTAATGATTTTGGCACAACATGTATATAATACATACATATATTATTTTTACATTTTTGACAAGTTACAGTACACTATTTTAATTTACATTATGATAATACTGATTATCTTTCCTCTTCTTAAAATAATGGGCCACAACTTGTGTTACTACTGTACTATACTTTATGGGGTCATCCACAATGACATATCAGCATTTTCACTAGTGTACAAACAGTATGCCAGAGAGTGGAGGGGTAGACAAATGTTCACACTTTGCATATGCAATATTTTAAAATAATAGATTTTTATGACCAATTATAATGGAACCAAGTACTGTACTTATGTTCTTCACAAAAAAAGGAGAATGGTTTTGCAAAATTAACTTTTTTATGTATACTTTCAAAGAAGTGGGAGGGTGTACAAAAAAAAAACTGTGTACAATTGTGAACGACCCCTAAAATAATCTACTGTACATACATTTTTACACAACACACAAAGTTAAACATCATTTTTGATTTAATACTAATGCTGATTCCCTTTACCTTCTCCCTACTGAACAATTAAGGCAATCTCAAGATGTCTCTCTCTAATATTTGGCCATTAATGAGCCACAACTTGTTTCCTACATATAATGTACACATAAATAAGCATTTTAAAAATAGTGTAGTATGTACATGTTATACATTTGTACAATACATATTGTTTTACAATGTCTGATTTATAACTTTGAACAAATGACAAACCATATAATATAGTGTTAAATAATCCAATACTGTGAATCTATTTCTGCAACTCAACAAGTTAACCTCAGTTTACTATTTATAATCAACAACTTCCTTTGGATAAATTTGAGTGTTGAACAAAATGGGTAAACATTATCACAGTAGAGCACAGTATTTCCTTTTCTTTGCAATTTAATACAGTGATTCAGATCTTGATAGATTAATGCTTGAAATTTAAGTAGTGTACTATGTGTTGCATAATTACAAGCATGCTCTTTGTATATATGCACGCTACACATGTGGGCAGACAAATGCTACCTAGACTAAATAAAATATCAGTTACAGTTGAATTTATACAGTGTTGTGTTGTCTCAATGGCCACAACACAAACATAACGCTGTAGTACCGTAAATGCTTGAATAAGTGCCACACCAAACATGATTTTTTGCTAAGCGTCGCTCTCGAATAAGCGCTGCGGTGCTTAATCGAGAGTAATTATCCTGTGTGTAATGAAACCGGGTTTTAAATACAATGTCTACAGTGTTAAAATAATAAATAACACAATGAAGACACAAGCATTTCTTTATAAGGTTTATTTATGATGATGTAGGACCTATGATAGGCCTACTGAATTACGAGAATATGTGAGATAGGTAACATGGGAACGGGCATGGAAACTGCCATGGCAATATTTTTTATAAGCACCGCACTGAAGCCTCCAAAAATGTTATAAGCGCTGCAGCGGTTATTCGAGCATTTACGGTATATCAACATGGTACTACTACAAATCACTACACTCAATTGTTGCCCACGCCCAAGCCCATGAACGTTAGCAAAATGGGAGGAAGGAATTCAAAGAAGCTTTAATAGGGATTATGCTATAGCTACAGAGCTGGACAAGAAAGATCCAACCACCCAGACTGTTGCATTAAAAAGTAATCTAAAGTGGGTTAACTTTGGCATTCGGAGTAACTTTGGTAGGTCAGTACATGAAAATTTTGCAACCATGTCACCGTCGTACCGTACACTCAATAATTGTATCACGTTTCTGCCTATGAGTAATCACTGCTGTTAAGGAAAATAACACCTATTTTACAGCTCTACAACCAAATTCTACACACATGACACAACCCCAGATGTTGCTGTATTCTGGCCAATGAAAGTGGAGTGGAAGAAAATTCTAAGTGACTGGAGTATAACGGTCTTGTCTCCAGTGAGCCTGAATGTTGCTGCTAACCTTGGTTCTGGATTCCGTAAATGTGCCTTATTCCTTTTGACCCACAAGAAGTAGTGATCAATTAACCCGATGCTCAGCAACACAATCCCGATGATATCGCCCGCAACTTAGACAACTACCTTATCAAATTTTTGAAAGAAAACCGTGGCCAGGGAAAGGAAACCAACCGTGGCCAGGGAAAGGAAACAAAGAAGTGAGGAAAGAAAATACATGTAGCCCTAGAGTCCAAATAACATTAGAAAATATCCAATGCACTGGTAAAAATTCTACCCGGGTCCCCTTGGTAAATATTTGTTGTCAATGACAACTTTATGTAGCATGTGCCACAAGGACTATAATGTTTATAAGGAACCACAATGGCTACAATGCATTTACTTGTTTGAACTGGGTGTGCGGCCATTGCAATGGTGTTGTCCACACTGTAAATAGTGGGTGAACCAAGGTACCCACACAGGTAAAAAGTGCTAATATTAAACATGCCTTGGTGCAATTTAATAAGCTGTCGTCCTATGTTAAAACTTGTACTGTATATATATTTATCAAACAAATTGTTAACTAAATTCTAGAGTTAATAATGAATATGGTTGTTTTTTAAAATATTTAAAGGTTTTGAAATTTATTGGAAAAAGGCAGACAGACCGAGCAGTGGTCCGGTGGTACTGTACCAGGAAGCTGAAGAGGCCAACAGTTCTCGAATGGGAAGTCCTTCAGCCGTCTCCAGGATCAGAGAAGTTGGTGGAGTAAATCTTAAATACTCCTTCACTAAAAGTCTGGCGAGTTTGTAAAGAGAAGCCTTCCCTGCTGTCAATGTCCGTCTGGGAACAACTAGGTATGAAAAACTTGTGGAAAAGTCTACTTAATAATATGGCAGCACACCTAGCACCACTCCACCTGACTGGCAATGTGGCAAAGAATTGGAGAAAGTTTAAGCAGAGATTCTTACTATATAATGTAGCCTCAGGCATATCAAGAAAGGCTGATGCCACCCAGACGTCTATGTTGCAAGTAATCGGTGATGCAGCACTGGATGTAACACCTTTGTTTTCAATGATGAGGAAAACATGAAAGTAAAGAAAGTACATTTTTTTATATTACATAAACTGGATAACTTTGTAAGGACTGGACGTTACTGGTGGAAGTTTGTTGTAAAAAAGAAAATTACATGCAGTTTGCGTCTTATGTAGATCATGTATGTTTATTAGAGTGGACTTCTTCTGAAAGTCAGTGACATACCTTGCCTATAATGAGTGACGCAGGCATTCAAATCGATCCAGAATAAGTGCTCAGCATGTAGAAGTGGTCTACACCCCAAAATGCCAAAGAACTGAGGAGCTTCCTTCGGCTAACCAAATATTATAGGAGGTTTGTAGAGGGTTATCCTAGAAGTGCTACCTTTACAGCTAAATGAAGCAAACCCAAGAAGAAAGTACCAAATCTGGATTTAAAGAAGTAATCAGAGCCCTTTTTTACTGTACTCATTAGACAGATGAATGTAGTAGAGCATTTGAGCAGTTAAAATCTAAACTACCCTCTGCCACAGTCTTGGTATATGCCTACATAACCAAGCCTTTGTACTTTATATAGATGCTTGTTGAGATGGTTTTGGAGCATTATTGCTGCTAGCGTTTGAAGGCAAGAAGAAAAACCTGTAGCGTATATGCCAGCCGATCTGTTAGACAGAGTAAGCGAAACTATCCAGCTTGGCCATTACTAAAAAATGTAAAGACTAGCTGGAGCTGTAACATTTGAAAGGCACCAAAGTAATGACAGACAGCAATCCACTAACATGTGTTTTAACATCAGTATCAGCTAAGTTGGATGCTACAGGACACCGTTGGGTGGCTGCATAATAGCTAACTTTGACTTCACCATCCGATACAAGCCAGGCAAGCCCAATACAGATGCGGATGCCCTATCATAGACCGCTCACATTGGATGGTAGTCTGCCTAAAATAAAGACTATTTAAAGACTACCTGGAGCTGTAACATTTAAAAGGCACCAAAGTAAATGACAGACAGCAATCCACTAACCTATATTTTAACATCGGACATGAGCTACAGTATGGATGCTACAGGACACAGGTGGGTGGTTGCATAATAGCTAACTTTGACTTCACCATCCGATAAAAATTCACCAATCAAGATGCGGATGCCCTATCATAGACCGCTCACATTGGATGGTAGTCTGCCTAAAATAAAATCAAAGACTTACAAACAAGGGTCAGTGAAATATCACCAAAAGAAGTCGTCAATGCGGTATGTTGCATGCATTCATCAAGCTGCATAACCTTTTCTTTTAATTTCTATCAATGTAATCATGTTTCAATCTCAAGTTTCATGAAATTTAGCTTTCTGTATTCAAATACTAATTTTCTATATTTTAATAAGGCATTTTCCTGGATTATTTCTCACAAACATTGCAAAACAAAATGTTTGCAATGTGGGCTTTCTCTTGTTTTATTGTTTTTTTGGTTTTTTTTTATGAAACTGGCCATCACATTTAGTAGCACTCATTATGTTTTTAAGGAACAATAATTATTTCAATTGTACATTGGAACTCCAAATAACAGATAGCAGGGTACCATCATCTTGTTGCGCTGTTGGCTGTACAAACTGGCAAAAGAAAAGAGATGGTCTAACTTTGTATAGAATTTTGTTTAGGAGGGAATTATAAAGAATGTTATGGCTTACAGCAACATATTCAAGAAAATTCATCGATCCTGCCAACATCTTGTTGCGCTGTTCATTTTACAAACAGGCAAAAAAGGAGACGGTCAACTTTGAATAGAATTTTGTCTAGGAGGGAATTAGAAAGCATATTATGGCTTACTTCAACACATCCAAGAAGGTTCAACGGTCATGCCAACATCTTGTTGCGCCGTTCATTGTACAAACAGACAAAAAAGGAGATGGTCTAGTCTGTATAGATCATGTTCGTAAAATTTAAAATGTAAATTTTAGAGAACCTGGCAACTACCACTAACAGTTTTCTAATTGTCTCTCCGTTTTGTGAGTAGTCATTTAAAAAACAGAATGCCAAAGCAAATAAATAATAGAGAAATAGGGGCGCATAAAAATTGCACAGCAAAAAGATGTGACTGTAAAAACAAACTTTGTGAAATAATACAACAAATTGTTCTTCAAAAAGATTGCAGATACTGTGTTCAGCCACATCAAATCGCCGCAGACCTTGATCTATAAATAAAATGGGTTCAACACAAATCTTACTTTGAAAGACAATTGAAATACTACTGTCTAGGGGCGAATTGGAAAGAATATTATGGCTTGCGGTGATAAACGGAAAAACTTGAAGGTGGGTAATGTATGCAAAGACTTGAAGAAATATAATATTTAAACACTTTTTTGATTGATGTAAGTAATTTTCAGTTGAAAGTTAAATAACAATATACATCTGCAAAACAAGAAATTTTTAAACTATTATTTGGAGATACCATTAAGTAACATTGAACAAGATACTACGACATCAATGACAATAAAAAATAAGTTAACCAATATTACTACACACCTAAATAGATCCCAGTAATTTGATTGGTTGATTTTGTACCAGAGGTATATTAGTTATTTTGCATTTTCTTCCATCCGAATCATCCATTGCACGTTGCCTATGGAAACGAAATGACTTCAACCTAATACAATCTTTTGATTGGTTAAAAAGATGCCAGACTGACTTTTCCAGAGGGTTAAATCCATGAAATGATGTCGCACACCACCCTTAACATTTCTCAGGCCTACTTCTCGCTGAACTTAGCAGTGTGCAATGCATTAGAGATTTTGTTTACTGTAAACAGTTGTACTTTAATTGCGTGGATGATACCTCAAAAACTAGCTCAAACTTGCGCAAAATCTGTGAGGAATTCGGCTCTTAAATTCCGAAATGCGATGACTGATTTCTAGTCTAGCCCTAGGTTTTGCGAGGATAGGCCTAGGCCAGGCTAGGCCGAACCGATCTATTTAGGTGTGTTATAAAACAAAAAATGAATGTTTTGTTTTTCATTCGTTGAAAGGTTGACTGTGCTACTCAACTTGGCTCCGCCTCGTTGAATGAAACAGTCAATCTTGCAACTCTTGAAAATTTTCTTCCCACTGCACTCATAAACATTCATTAATTGTATACTAGCGAATCTATAGATTTGTTTTTAACATTTACATAGTAATAGTGCTGAACTCGTTCTCTCAATTTTTATTTTTTGCAGATTGGTACTGGCTGAAAACCCAAACATGTTCCAAAGGTCATTCAATCATGTGATCAGAGTTCAGCGATGTGTCATGCAGTCAACGTCACCTAGCAAAACTAATTGTGCCAATTCGAGGAGCATTTAAAACCAATCTCTGGAAGAAACAAAAATTGTTGATATGTCATACTGTACAACTGATTTTTCTAACACACAAAAATGGTGTTTAATGAAAAAACTTGGTAACGATTATTGAGATACAGATTTAAAACTGACGGAAAAAGTGTGGGCACGCCCCTTTTCCCCCAGTTTTTAAAGTCAGGGTTTGGATTAAAAAAATGTTTGTTATGTTGTATAACTGCTTTTTTCAAAGACAGAAAAAAAGCTGTTTGATGAAAAACTGGGGAACGGTAAATCAGATACCGATTTTTAATTATTTAAAAACTGGGGAAAAAGGTGTAAAAAAGGGGCGGTTAACCCCCTTTCCCCCACCCCCAGTTTTTAAATATTAAAAAATCTGTATCTCATTCACCGTTTCCCAGTTTTTTCGTCAAAAAACTTTTTTTTTAAATAATCAAAAATCTGTATCTCATTCACCGTTTCCCAGTTTTTCGTCAAACAACCATTTTCTGTCTTAGAAAAATCATTTCGGGACCTCTGGCTTTGCTTCATGCCTATGGATACCCGAGAAGTTTGATATAGGAATCTAATAACCCACATTGTAAACATGTTGCATACTTAAAATGTGCTTAGTGTGACTTAAGAATTTTAGATTTAAGAAAAATACTAACTTCATTCCGGTATCAAGTAGTCATCAGAACATCTGGAAGGCTTCATATAAACATCGCTGTTTCTCCTCTTTGGTCTTCATCATGTGCTCTGGTTTTAATCCCATAACTAGAGACTTGAAATATTCTGCATCCACTTTATGATTACTGTTTAAATCATCAAGCATTGCAGTTTCCACCTGAGACTCAAGCAGTTCGGTTATGTCTGAAATTGATAATATGTAGGAACATGATGCTGTACAAGACCTATGATCAGATGTGTCTGTTACTTTTTGGCATTTTTTTAAATCGAAAGAGGGTTCTACTGGATTACTTGAAGATGATTTTGCAGCTCTTGAAACACAAGTGAGTTCTGTTGACTTTAAAGAATCTGAGGAATTACCAGATGCTCCTGTTTCTACTTTCACTTCTCTGCCTTGGCTGTAATTATTTTCCGTTCTTAAACACAACGACGAAGATGATTTCGGAGAAGTCAGTTCTGATGCATCATGAGAACCTGGGTAGTTGCCAGATGTTCCTGTTTTGACTTTTTGACAATTATTTTCTGTGCTTAAACCATCATTTAAGTCATGTTCTGTGTCTGGCAACGCAACTGATTTTAGAGGTGTCAGTTCTGATGTATTCTGAAAATCTTGTGGGTTACCAGAGGTTCCTGTTTTTATGGAGCCTATCATATTTTCAATTTGGCTGCTATGATTTTCATTATACAGATTGTGTTCTGTTTCTGGCAACACAACTGATTTTGCAGAAGTTAGTTCTGATGTATCACAAGGATTTGTTGAGTTGCCAGATGCTCTTGTTTTGACTTGACTACAATTATTTTCTGTGCTTGAACCTGCATTTAAGTTATGTTCTGACTCTGGCAACACTACTGATTTTGGAGCAGTCAGTCCTGCTTTATCCTGAAAATATGATTTGCCAGATGCTCCTGTGTTAACTGCTATAAATTGTTTACCTTCACTGCAATTATTTTCTGTGATTAAATAATCATGGTTGTGTTCAGTTTCTGGCAACACAGATGATTTTGGAGAAGTTGGTTCTGATGCATCCCAAGAACTTTGAGTGTTATCAGATGTTTCTGTTTTTACCGCTATAACTTCTTCATTTTGGCTGCAATTATTTTCAGTGCTTAAATCATCATTCAGTTTCTGTTCTGTTTCTGGCAACACAAACAATTTTGGTGAAGTTAGTTCTGATGTACCCCGAGGATCTTGTGGATTTCCTATTGGTTCTGTTTTTACTGCTTCAACTTCTTCATTTTGGCCGCAATTATTTTCAGTGCTTAAATAATCCTTTGTTAGGTTGTGCTCTGTTTTTGAAAGTGATTTTGGAGAAGTACTGCATCTTACTTCAGGATTATCTGATAAAGTTGTCCCTTTTCTCTGAAAATAGTACAAGATATTTGAATGTGAAACATCCTTCTGCTGAGTAACACAAGTAAGGTGTGAATTTTCTCCAAGTAAATGGGAATTCTCATCTACGTTCATTATCACAGTGGTATCTTCATTCATCTCAACCATTGAAAGTTCTATATTTTTTTTGAATACACAGTTTTCATCAGTGGGATCTTCATCATCTAATTTAGGTCGTTTTGGCACCTGTTGCTTTTCTGGTGAGTCATAGAACTGCACCCCAAGTGAATGCTTCCTCTTTGATCCACTAACTATTGTCTTCTGAGTCACATTTTTAACAGTAGGTACAGAATTAAAAGAAATATTTTGCAACACTTCAGGTATAGTAAAAAAAAATTGAGGACTTTGGTCCAGATAGGTATCAAAATGCTGCAAGTGAGTAATGCTTCTCTTTGCGTATGAGTTACCTTCTTTTACAATTGGAATGAGTCTTTTTGGCTTTATATGTGCCACAAATTCCAAAAGTTCATAGTAGGAGGAGTGATCTGAATAAGGTACAACATGAATGTTTGATGTATGTGTATAATCCTGAGAGTTAAAGTACAGAGCTGTTGGCAGGATAGCAATAGTGTCTTGCTCTTTGTTCCAGATTGCTATATTTTTTTTGGTGATTTTCATATTTTTTTCAACTCGAATCCAACCGGCACTAATATCAGTTGTAAAGACATCTGGAAGATCTAATAATTTCACAAGACTCATTTTCTCTGGACTTACAACTATCCAAGTTTGAAATCTCCTGGCAATATCAACCAAAAGATCTTCTTTGCCAAGAGAGTGCATACCAAGAACGATCTCACGGTTTTGATTATCTTCAATGATCTGCATAACTTGTTCTTTGGCATATTCCCGAGATGGTAAATAAAACTCTTCTGAATTATACGTATTGTCAAAGTAAAGGACGTCGATGATTTTACCACTTAAAATATCAAGGTCTCTTAGCATTGCATCACAAAACCTGAAATCCCCTGTATATAAAATGGTGCCAAAATATCCTTCAAACAGAAACATAACTGCTCCGGGGCAGTGATGTGCATCTATTAGAGTGACCGTAATTGTGATAGAATTCAAGACATCAAGATCCACCACATGACTCATGCCAGTCTCTAAAGGGCATATTAACTCATCTCTGATATTAAACTTAGCCTTCAGGAGTTTGGCTGAGATTTCTGAGCAATATATTCTATCCTTCCATGATGAGGAGAGTCCAGATGTGTGATCTGCATGCATATGGGAAAGAAAGAATAACTTTGCCGGACAATTCCGTGTTCTCCAATAGTCTACAGCAAGTAGTGTACCTGGTATGCAGCATCCATTCATCTACAGTTAATACAGAAAGTAACACAATTCAACAACAACAATGATTACATTATAATAGGTAGTGGTTAATCATTAAAAAGCTAAAAAACTATAGCCAAAAAAAACCACTACATTTTGTTGGTCTTTTAGCAAAATATGTTAATATTTATATTTAAAACCTCCGTCAAAGGAGGATATGTATTCACCACTGTCCGTCTGTTTCCAAAAGATTATGCAAAAACCATAAAAATTTGATTTTTAATCATACATGAAAAAAATGGAATCATCCATCAAACACGGCCTGCATATTGTTTAGTATTCAGACACAGGACAGGAAAAAATGAAATCGTTTATCATACATGGAGTTATTAACAACAATACAAACTTTCTAAGACATTTACAACCAACTTCAGTTCTGAAATAATGGTAGAGGTCGGTCCACTACATCGCGAAACGTCAACAACTGGCAAACCAGTCACTGTCTGATGAAGATCCCTTGATGAGGGATCAAAATGTCACAAACAGTACGTATATTTAATGGTTTACTTTACAAGAATTTTTTCATGTTCATACATCACAGAAACCAGATGAAACTATTCATACGGCAATCCGTCCTATGTTTAATACATAGGATATTTTCAAAACATAAATTTCACGAACTTCCCCATTATTACTTTTCCCAAAAAATACTTCATACTTTTCACAAGTTTTCTCCTCAATATACCAAAATTAAAGTATACATCACAAAGGAAGCCTCTGATAGCAAACAGAAGGCTTCTGATTGCACAATGCAGTAGTACATAAAATGTAAGGACGTTACTAATAGTTCATCTGCACATGCGAGAATGTTAAGTTGTCACGTGGATTCTAGGATGCAATTTACCAAATCAGAATGTAAGACGGTCACGCATGAATTAATCCGTTCTAGCGTTGCATCATCATGGCGCAAATCGAAAGCTCCTCCTTGTCCTCAAACGCGTTGGCATAAGAGAAGACCCTTTGCTCTATGAGTGGTGTGTACTTTGTCTAGCATGCAGTGCAGTGGCCAGGCCTAGCATAGAAAGAGGGCTTTAATATGTAATGCCTAACCTAGAGCTAAGGGCTACCCAGGCCCTAGTATCGGTAGTACAGATTAGTGCCTAGCCTCTAACTATAGGGGGACCTAGGCCTAGCCCTACTAGTCTACCGACTAGCACTGGGCCTCCTGGGCCTAGCCTATCCGTATCCCCTTATTTTATATAGCAAGTAGGGCCTAGGTCCAGGAGGCTAGGCCTAGCGTAGGCCCTAGCTAGTAAAGGAGGGCCTAGCCTACAATATCGAAGACCAGACCTAAAAACTGATGTAATAGGGACGCTACCTTGTTTATGCTCTTTTTTACTGTTTGACAAGCCTTGCCCTTTACTTAGCATTCACACATGCAAAACATTTTAGCGCCTACTTTCATCCAGCAAAACTCCTCCCACTTCCATCACAAATAGCGCCACCAACGTCTGGTATTAGATTCATCATAATTCACTTTTTGCCTCGAATCGCAATTTCAATCATTTAGGAGTACCACACAGAGATAATCACTATTTGTCATCATAATTCACTTTTTGCCTCGAATCGCAATTTCAATCATTTAGGAGTACCACACAGAGATAATCACTATTTAACATTGAGCTCAGTAGTATCAGATATTTTATTGAGAAGCCAGAGCACAGCAGTATTGCAATAACAGAGACATACAAAAGATTCACATCTTAACCATACTACAGATTGACATCAACAACCATGATGCCATTAATCAGCCAACATCAATAATACAGTCAAGTCATCCTCTAACATAAATTCTCAAACTGTGGACTATTGATAATGTCATAAAACAGTAAATTAATGATGTCATCTAAAAGCAGACTACATAATTATGTCATCAACTAGTAGAGTAGAATGATGTTATCAATCAGCTGACTAAATTACGATCTTATAAATTTGTAAACTACTGTACAAAGATGATCTCAAATCAGCATGTTTGTTATGCGCAGTTTTTCAAATTTGCGCAACAAAATCAAACTGTGGAAGGATATTTTTAAGAACATTCATCGGTTTAGACATAACCTATCATTTAACATTGCAAATTTTAAAATTACACATCGTAATTAATTTCACAATGAAAACAACTGAAATAACTGCAGTCTACATCACTAATTGAATACCTATAATTAATATCTGTAAATGACATTTTATTACCATTTTTCAAAAATACCTTGAGTAGAGTCTTATCCAACATATTTACATCACTTTGCTCAAATCTGACAAACTGCGCCTAACAGCATACAACATAATGTCACTAAACGAATAGCAAACTACTGATGTCATCAAACAGTAGGATATGACATCAAAAGGCAGACTATTTAATGATGTCATTAAATAGCAAACTATAATGATGTCATCAAATAACAATTTAAAGTAATGCTATCAATTAGCATTATGAAATAATTTCATCAAATAAAACAATAACAATATCAATCAATAGAGGGTATATAATTAAGTCAACAAATAGACTATGTCATCAATATAGAACTTACATTATGATGTCATCAAATAGCCGACTAACTGTATAGTGCAGGCCTAGTAGTGTGTCAAAAGAGCAGACTATGTCATCAAATACAAATTGTCATTAAATAGCAGACAATGTCACTAAATAGCAAACTATATAATGTTAATATAAGTGTCATTAAATAGTTAATGGTGTCATCAAACAGCCAACTATATAATGTCATCAAACTATACTGTCATCAAACAGCAAACTATACAATTCCATCAAATAGTAAACCATATAATGATGTCATTAACGAATATTATACAATGATGTCATCATATAGCCAAGTACCAGTATGTAATGATACTCTAAACTACAGATGATGTAAATTCTATAGTAGTATACAATGAGAGATGACAAAAAACTGTTGTATGCCCATTTATAGTCATGATGTGCCTATATATGGTCGTGATGTGATGTCATCATGACCATATTTAGACATGTCGCATGTGTTTGTAAGATAAAATTTGATAGTCTGGACAGAAAAAGCTTTGTCCACACTGTCAAAGGCTTATGTGACATATTTGCATGACCTGCCTATATATGGGCATGATGATGTCACATCACACCATATATAGGCAGGATGATGCCACATCACACACAAACATAGGCAAGCAAGATATTTGTCACAGAAATAGAGTAGATAGAACTCTAATGGTGATCACGATAACAAAATATCTAGAGGCTTTTTTTTTTTAACTAATGTGTTACTATTTCAGCAACATCCAAAATTATTTACAAACCTAAGAGTAATGTCATTATTTTCAAATAAACCCATTATACAGATGTCATTTAAAAACCCAAATAAAATCAGCAGCACTAATAGTAAGGCAACCCATCACCAGGACATTTAGAATCATGACATTTACAATTTTTTTTTTTTTTATATCAAATCAGAGCCATATATATAAAGAGTTGCAACATTCCGCTCCTCGGTTTGCGAAAGTCACGTGGTACACACCGTCAATTTTTGTGTCCAAATCTTGAACACATACAAATGTTAATTGCATTTTTGATATTATATAATTAATAACTATTTAATATCAAAAGCGTGATTAGAATTTATCTTTAGAATTTGAATACTGCTTGATAATTAAATGCGAATTACATGTAATTACATAGAAATTATAATTAGAATGCGGATCATGTTGGACAGAGAACGCGGTTCTCGTTGGACACAGAATGGCTTCTAAATTCTCAATGTCGTAACTCTTTCTATCTATGGCTCTGGATTAAATACCCCAAATACTCCCTCTCAGAATCATACAATTATAGTCCCATATATATTGGCAAATGGAAGCATTTGTACATCAAAACTGTTAAAACCAGAAAAGATAAATTTGTAAATTTGAATTGATCCCATGTGTTGATTCCTACAATAATAAACACTTATAATGCGGCATTTTTAAATATATATATATGCAGAATGACAAGTCAAATTTCATCATGTGATTAGAAATGGATGTAAGAAAATTCAATTCAAAATAATCTGGAGGTGCAATTTATGTTACTTTGACATGCAGTACTATTTCTGGCTAGCACAAACGAAAAAATCTTTTTACAATTCGTTCAATAAATAATAACTGATTAGAATTTAACTCAAACATCAAAAACTGTCCAGAAAAAAAAAACTTCCACAAAGGCTCTGAAAGTTGCGAGAGAGTTACTTCCCCGCCAAAACCGTTATGTCAATTTAATCCTGGGCCTCGGATTTACGCATTAGAGGGGCACTAGCCAGGACTAAGCAGGAGAAGTACAGATATTTGTGTCCCCGTAGTGCAGGGATATATCTAGGACTGAAGAAGAGATAGAGAAGGCTGGAATTTAAAATGAGTAGCAAGTATTTCAGAAATTTATACTGTAAAAACCTGAGACTGGGCCAAGAAAATATGTTAAAATGATGCCCTCTCATCTCATTGCTGTTCGGTGGTCTGGACTTGTAATATAACATTTTCGAAAGATACATTCCCAGCTAAGCACCCTTAGCCCAGTGTCTGGGGAAGAGGATTCAAATGTCAGGTGCATTATTAGTATATGACATTCATTCAGTGTCTGAAGACAGTTCTATTTTAAAATTTACATGCAGCACAGATATTGATGATAGGTTACACTAAAAAAAAAAAAACAGACATTGTTTCTAGGACGGTAATTACAAAAGAAAACAATGCGAAAATAAAGTATATATAACATAATTATTCTACAGTATATTGTAACATCTCAACTATTTATAAAAGAAAATACAGAACATACACAACAAATTCCAATGGAATACAATTATATAATATTTGTAGCATGAATTGGGCAGCATATCTATCAAGTTTATCAATTAAACTTTCATGGTTTAATACAGTACACCCATCTCTTATTTCCATGCTCAATGACCATGTTGAGGATTAGGGCATTATCATTTTAGAACGTTATTACACTTCAAGCTCTGATGGGTGCAAAGGTTAAGTGGGAAAGGCTCGATGATAAAGCATGGGGGAATTAGCTGGTACAATCAGGTGATATTTGGTGATATTTAACTAACTGAGTGCAACTGATATTCAGCCAATTTTGCCACTGAAACCATATACTTCTAATATGTATGTTAATACATTTGCCTTGATACTCAACATCACCCACTGGTCACTGTCTATGTGCAACTACATGACAATTTATTCCTGGTGAAACTGTGAAGGTACAGTACATAAAAGATAAGATAACCAATTGCATGTAAAAGGTCGTAAGGAGATTATGCTGTTTATACAACTTGGTGACATCAAATTCCAAGTTACTAATAACATACTCTCTATGATTGCTTCAAGAATGATTGATTTGGATGCGAGAAGTGCAAAAGAGGGCAAGTTTGAGTGGGCTGTTACTCTGTAGTGGCCTGATATGGCACAGATACGATCTTCAAAAGGCTTATTTCACCCTGCACTGGCCTGAACGGCACAGAATTAAAGAGAGGTAGGATGTCATTGGCCTTTAAGGTGCAGAAAAAGCAGAGAGGTAGGAGCTTCAGGGCTGTTGGCCTGCACTGATGACAAGAATGGCTGATGATTATTACTATAGTAATAATAGTCACACATCAAGTTATAGAAGAATTGGAATACACAATTGTTGAAATCATCACATATCACCCACTGGAGGATACTTAATGGAATGTCCATCCGACAATCTAGTCATTGTAACATCATCCAATTTTTTTATGTATGTGTAGCTGACATGTTTAGCATAAAATTAACATAACATTTACATGTTGCTAATAATAGTAACATTACACATGTTGCTAATAATAGAAAAATGTTTAGCATAAAATCAACACAGTATTTACACATGTTGCTAATAATAGTGTAGCTGACCAGTAATTGAAAAAATGCTTAAATATTATTACTACTATCAGTAAAAAATACATTAGAAATGAGCTCTAGATATGTGCATTGAGTATTATATGCAAAATGAGTATGGTATAGTAACTTGTGGTTCATTACATAGAGTAGCCTTAAAAATCAAAGCCAGCTAATTACAATCCACTGTAATGAAATGTATTAATAGATGACAAACCATTACATAACACCTCTCAAATGTCTAGAGCAAATCAAAATTACATGTGAGTTGGAATAAGAACGAAATTGAAAATTTTTAAAAATCACGTACCTGTAAACGAATTTTAATTAATGTAAGAAACAGCTAACTAGTTTTTTAAGGAGCGGAATTTAAAGATTTTGTCTGCATTTTTATATATATAATATAGATAAACAAATTTAGCAAACTATCATTTACATAATGTTCATGCAACAACACTTTGCCCTTGAGGGCACTCTTCAATACCCAACCCTATTTTCTAAAACATTACCACCACCTTTGATCCAACGAAAAAAAAACATGATAAGGATAATACATCAACATTAAAAACAGTCAGAACATAATGTGGTTTAACCACGCTGATCAAATATACAGGACTAAAACCTACTTGAAAGTAAACCTATGGTAACACAAGCACTGACAGAAAGTAACAATATACATTATAAGATGCCGTTGTTTAAATCCTGTGTTCAGTCTATACGGCAAATATAGTGTTCCAGCTTAGGACGAAACTCCTGAGCTAACATTGTACGGCCAAAAATTGGATTCTAGGCGATGTCTTGAACCCCTAACAGGTAAAATGGATAGCCAGCGCGAGAGATAAAATTCCTTTCTTGATTAGATGGATGAAAATATTTTCCGCGGCCAAATATCAGAGCTACCCAAGGCTAGAATTGAGGTGGCCGTACATGCAAGTGAGGGTGCACTCAGGTGGAGACAGCTAGTGTTATCTGTGCGTTATAATCCGTTGTTTCCATACGCAAAATGTACGGGATTATGCTGTCAATTTGCACGTTTCCAATAAGACCTGCGAAAAAGAGCTCTTCCATGATGGTGGGGCTGAGTAACCGGAGACTTGGAAGCCGCATGATCAACTTGCCGAAACGGTCTGGGTTGTTGGGATACGTGCTGCCCTCGTATTCCCGAAACTCCTTCAATACTCTCTCCTGAAACAAGTTGATCTGTTTTGGGTTCGGTAAGCCTGGGTGATCTATCAAAACAGAACATAATTTGTTGTTAATAATTGAATAACATAAATCGCAATGATAAACTTTTTGAGAATTGGTGCTTCCTATAAATTTTGTCCACACTGTCAGTTTTAAAATGATTTTGTCTACATATGGGTATGACATGACATTTCGCTCATATGGGTAAATTACACACATCACACACTTTACATTTCATACTAAATTTCATTATAATAATAATAATAAAAAAATTAGATATGGCAGTATAAAAACTGAATTGTATGTTATTACTCCAATATTAATACGAAGATATAAAAAAATTTAAGATAAAATCTTGGGGAGTAAATTTACCTGAGCTAAACAACACTAGGGCCTTCAGGTATGCATATTCATTTGAGTCAACCTGTAACCGGGATAAAGTCGAGACAAACTCTTGCAACTTCCAAATATGCTCCATTACTGCCTTCACACGATCTGCCGAAAGCTTATCTGAAATATTCAAGAATTTATTCTCTATAGTGCGATGCTGATAACAAGTACAGGCACATACAGCATTTGAGATGATAAAACAGAGGGCATTAATGGGATAGTACCTATGCCTTCAATATACCAGACACTGAAGATAAAAATGCAGAAGGCATTAAGTAGTTAGTACTAAAGTCTTTGCATATGCCAGTATTTTAGATGACAACGCAGCAGGCCAAGATGGCATGGTATCATAGGTATCGTATAGACCCTACGCAAGTTAGTATACAGTGTCTGAGGTCCAGAGTGTCAATCAAACTGAACTGACCAATCAGGACAGCACCAGGGATACACGCATGTCCAACAAACACGTTGTCTAATCTAATCTAATCATTTATATAGCGCCTTTCTTTACAGAAAGTGCTTAAAGTTTTTCTCTGGTCATTGGGTCCACATTCTTAAGTGTTGCTGCCATCTCGGCGCAGGAGCAGGCAACCCCACCAGGTACCCACAAATGTGGCAAAGACAAGCCAAACCAGTCACTCGTCACAAATCCTGTTTTGGAAATAATGGCCAAAATGATGCTGGAATTTCAACATTTTGGAAATCTATTTTATTGCACTAAACTAACCTTTATATATCTATACATCATGCTATGCTGTTATTTTCCTCATTTTCAATGTTAAAAACAACAATTTTTAACGATTTGGTGATGGTTTCTTCCTAAGAAATGCCTGAAATCGTAAACTTTAAAGGCTGATTTCTCAAATATTGTTCTTTAAACAGCTATATGTTTAAACTTGTGTAACTTCATAACAAAGTTTTGGATTTAAATGATTCTTTTACCATTTTATAGCTCTCATTTTACTGTTAAACCCTGTATTAATAACAAAACATTGATTTTTCCGACGAGTGACTGGTTTGGCTTGTCTTTGCCACAAATGTTCGCGTTCATGTACATTTACGCTAATGTTTTATGGGACCTGAGAAACAATATCCAAGGGGCGGCGCTTAGGGGAAAGGTCTATTAGCGACTCACCTTGCTGTAGACTGGTTTGTAAGTGATTCACAATGGCTGTGAGGATGGTGGATAGAGCCATCGATTGGGAACACTGGCCGAGACCTAAAGTGAACAACTCACTCCAGCACTTCTGTACCATTGCTGTGTGACAGTCACTCCTATTGATACAACGAATGATGATTAAATAAAGCTATGAATACACTGCCATGAAATAATGTATACAATTTCTACTTTCTTTAATTGTTTTTCACCTTTATACCAAAAAAAAAAATGTTATTAATGACAATATCAATATTTCTGTTTGATAAACTAATAATTTTTTTTATTTTTTTAAATTTTTACTTGATTGTATTTCAATTTGCAAAACAAAAATCAAACAAAGAAAAAAAAGGAAAAAATCAATTACAAAACAATTGAACAATCATAATAACTAGATACATAGTTTTTTAATTTTAAGTTCGAAAGAATCAAATTAAATATCAACAGACTTCTCTTTAACGACAGAAGAATTATTTGGTAAACTAACAATAAAACTAATTTTGAAGCATCAAAATTTAAATGAAACAAGGAATGAACGACAATGATAAGGTTTATTTGATAGGCTAAAATCAAAGACAAGATCAGAACCGAAAACTTCATTACTGTATTACAATTATAAAAAGAGGGAGTTGAGGTAATCACCTGCGAAATTTCAATCTGATCACATCAGCTGAAAATTTTGCAATTTTGCATGAAAAACTAATTTATTTCTTACGGTTATTACCTATTTTCTATTCAACCGAATGCACTCTCGATTAACGCTGAACGAAAATCATTATCTAACATTATCATCAATAAAAAATGCTTACCCCATAATTTGAAATGCTTGAATGCTTCTAGCCCAGTGCATAGAGAGAAAGAGCAGTCTGGATGCAGACTCGCAGATGTAGTGGACATTGAGAAACTGAGGCATGGGGGAGGGGGTAGTCAATTTAAACTGCATGTGTGACTCATTTAAGATAGCACCTTCCAAGTCCACAAGAGGTTGATCATCTGATTGAGTTGAGGCACCATTGAAAGAAACTCCAGCCCTAGTATAATAAAAGTGAATAAAATTTTTAATTTCATTTAATAGAATAGAAAAATGTAATGATGCTGGTATTCTACACATAACATATCCAATAATAACTAAATCAATAAGGCAAGATTTTTTTTATTCCTTGTTTCGCGTACTTATAAGATTATCGGAGGAGGGAGGAATAATAATAAAAATAATTTTTTTAGGCTACAATAAAATTTTATTGTTATTCGAAATCATCAGTGTTTGCAGTCGGCAGGTATAATAAAAGTCTCGCCTAAGTAGCGATATAATAAGAATCAATGAAAATATTGTTAGAATACTACAAGTATTAACAGAAAGATATGTATGGATGCTAATTTAAAACAACAAATGATGCAGCCTATGGTAGAATTTTTTCACAGTTTGGGAGCAGTAATTGAGAATGTAGCAAATTTATTACATGCCCAAATTTTATTAACAATATCAATAAACCAATTTTCACTTCATCACATACATATTTTTTAATTTTTAAAAAGGCATTGATAATGCATGAAAGTTAGTAAATTGTTTGAGTTTATCAATTTGTAGCACAGATGATTACACACTTACCCAGAATCCGACGAAGCACCGCCTTCTGCATTTTCTGATTGGGCATTCAATGCCTTCGCTAACGTATCAAAAGCCTTGCTGATATTAGATTTATCCCCTCCCGCTTGGATATCTCCACCAGCCTCACCGTTTGATACCACAAGCATCTCTTCCTCCAGACCATCAATAGCTGAGCCCGTCTCACCCTTCTTGTTCATGTTTGCCAGTGAAGTGACCACACTTGCCAGCGTGCTCAAGTCAGTGGTTGTCGTTTCCGTGCTAAGCTGCGGCGTTGAACTTGTTGGTACATTTATCAGAATGCCTTGGTCGAACAACCCAGTCCGCGATGTCACTGGTTTATCTGTGAAGCCAAAACAATACAATGTTTTTATTTCGTAATATTATAAATACTTTTTAAAACATTTTAATACGATGAAAATAAGCTTCACTCGTACACTTCTTTTTGAACAATTTAGTATGACAAACATTTATTCTAGTGATTTTAGAATGAGTAACACCAAATATTATAATTAGTCATAATTCATCATTTTCAATCTGTTTTGTAGTGTACTCAAATCGCCGTTCTACTTTCAAACCAATACATTATAATACGTTATCATAAGTTGATATCAATATTATTGATTAATATACAGTATATTTTTATCTCAAAACTTATGGCCTGATGTTATCATTATTGACGCCATAATATTGATTGTATTTATAAGCCATGAAATACTTTCACATAGGGCCAAAACATAGCGTGAACAACTTCACAGCATGTTGTTTTATATATAATTAAAGCCCCATTCCCGGCAAAATTTCAGTTTTTATAAAAAATACAATTTTTGTATAATGTTATAAAGATTTATAAATATAATACGGAATTGCTAGTTTAAATGAATTTAGACATTCCTAATAATGAAAAAAATGTAAAATAAGACTGAAATTTGATTTTTTGT